TGACTGGCACTTCACCCTAACAAGTCCCCAAGTGACTAGTCTTACTCTGTGATCAGTGACTCAGTGACTGACTCTCATCCATTATGGGTGCCCAAGTGAATTATCCTCCTCTGTGATTGTTACCCCCTTTTCTTTCTTTTTTTTTGAGTTGGAGTCTCACTCTGTCGCCCAGACTGGAGTGCAGTGGCCGCTCCCGGCCACCGCAGCCTCGCCTGCTGGGCTCCGGTGATCCTTCCGCCTCAGCCTTCCGAGTAGTTGGAACTACAGGCGCGTGCTACCACGCCTGGTTAAATTTTTGATTTATTGTAGAGATGGGGGTCTCGCCAAGTTGCCCAGGTGGGTCTTGAACCCGCAGGCTCAGGCAATTCACTCACCTCAGCCTCCCAAAGGCGCGGGATTACAGGCTGAGCCACCCACCGAGCCCAGCAATTGGCCCTTTTTCAATCCTCTCTCCATCAGCCCTTTACACTATTGTGCCACCTTTAGTCCTTACTGCTAACCAATTGGATTAGTGTATTTTCAATCCTTACTACCAACTTTACTACTGATCAATTAGGTTAGTGTATTTTCAGGCCCTACTGCCAACCAATCAGCACAAACCTCCCCATTTGAAACCCATGAAAAGCTCCTAACTGTAGTGGCCTCCTGTGTAACCCTCTTGGTCCCCTTTCGCTGTAATAGCTGCAACACTTGCTTTCCTGAAAAAACTTTGACTTGCTCATCCTCTGGCATTCATGACTCTTATGAGACAAGAACCTGGGACTCGCCAAGTGGCGAGAGCTGTGGCCATCCCTGAGAACTTGGGATTCTCCAAGGAAGAACTATAGCTAGAGGAGCTGAGAACTGTAACACTCCATGGGGCTCTGAGACTTTGGCATCCCTGAGTTTTCAGGGGTCATAACATTCTTGGTCACCACATAGATCTCAAGCTGCCATAATGTCCTTAGTGGCCACATGAATCTCAGGTTGGCAGTGCAGGCCTGGTGAGACTACATGTTCTGCTTTGGATATGCTCAAAGATAAAATGGTTGAGGATTTCTTTCTTTTTTTTTTTTTTTAGAAAGCAGGATTTATTGAGAGGACAGAAAAGCTCCCAGAGCGGGAGGGGGACCTGTGGGGTTTGCCTGAGAATTTAAAGATGGTGACAACAGAGCATTCAACCAAGTTGAGTGCAGATACCTATCAGACTGGCCCTTTCCCCACAATTGTTCTTCCTACATGAATGTTAAGTGGCCGGTAAGTGCCTATCTTGGTTTTAGAACCGTTCTGTAGAACTTCTTCCATCTGAAGCCCACTCCAACCAGAGTGGGCATTCTAGTGCTTCTTTTTTGGCCATGCTTCTGCCAAGAGCCATCCTCATTTTGACTTTTATAAGGTTCCTGAGGGATGGATACAGTTGACTGACAAAGTATCTTCTTTGAAAGGGTTTGCTTAGCTTCTATTGAGCAGGTTTTTTTTTTTTTTTTTTAGCATCTCGCCTATGAGCCCCACACAAATCTGGCCCTCCTCTGCTCTTTAGCCTCTGGGCATCTGTGATACAAGATCATGGATCAGAGGACTGCTATTGACTGCTCCCTTGTGCTACCCTTTCTCCTGTTCAAAAACTCCTTCCCCATCCTAAATCTTGTATCTGCGGATCTGTGTTGTTCTAGAGACTAGAAAAATCCAGCATCCCCTTGATCCTGGCCTCAGCTCCAGCCCTGCTTCCACTCAAGCCCTGACATCAGGCAAAACACTTGTTTTTAATTTTCTAGGGGAGAGACAGGGAAAAACAGAAACGCAACTGGTAAATTGCCACAGATTCTTTCTTATGCTATTCTCAAGTTGGTCTCTGCATTGTGTAGACTTTCTTACCTTTCTCACTGATCTTGCTCTTCAGCTGAATGTGTCGCGTTCCTTTCCCAATTTTCACTCCCTATGAATTCTCCCCAAGTGAAGACTTTCCTGAGGATCCTTCCTTTTCTGCTACTCCCTCTACCTCTCCCTTCTTGTTACCTCTCACAACACTTAACTGAATGACTTCAGGAATGATTCTCTTTCCATACTGAGGTGGAGATCATGTCGCATTGCTCTTTGCATTCCTGTATCCCCTAAAAATAAGATCTCAAATCTCCTGGTTTTACCTTTTCATAACCACAAAGTGAGATGGATGTTACAGTGAAAAAGGACAGAATGCAACAGTGATGTACAGTGAAGTGACCTAGTTTAGTCTGAAGGGACATGAGTTTTGCTTTGGTTCGTTGCCTAGCACATTAAAGATTTAGAAATAACCGAGTAAAGAGTAAATATTTAAATTTCAAGAAAGCTTCCACAAACATAAAGTACTTTATTTACTAAATAGAAGAATATGAAATGTACAGAGAGTATTAGTAAGCAATGAAACTTGTAGAAGCAAATAAACTGGTTGGAAGTGACTTGAGAAGTCATCCAAAGCCCTGCCTCATAACCTTTTATGGACCCCTCTGGAATTCTGATAAGCAAATACTGCAGACAATTGAAATGAAACTTATGAAAGTCCATGGACCCCCAAGTCAATGATCCCTGAACTGAAGGCATTTTCCTATAATAGCAGCTTAAAGTTAGAAATTGCATTCAGTCCCCCGCCGCCCTCAGAGCACAGCTCCACCGCCATGTCTTCCGTGAGGGCCCTGCAGCCTGTGGAGGAGCAGCTCAAGCTGGAGGCCGGTGTGGAGAGGATCAAGGTCTCACAGGCGGTGGCAGAGCTCCAGCGGTACTGCATGCAGAACGCCTGTAAGGATGCGTTGCTGGTTGGGGCCCCAACTGGGAGCAATCCCTTCTGGGAGCCCAGATCCCGCTCTCTACTCTGAAAACTCCAGGGAATAAGCTTGCTGAGGAGCATCTTCCAGTACAAAGTGATGAATAACAGCCTCCAAGTCCCAAGAAAACCCTTTCCCCTAGCCAAATTGAAAGGCCCCAGTCAGCCACAATGAGGAACCCGCCCCCTCCAAAAGCTAAGCCTAGGTGTGGCCCCCACCTAAAATGGCTCTCCCGCCTAAGAAGGCGCTCAGATAAACTAACATGGAGGCTCGGACAAGGCTTTCTGGGTTCTTCTTCCACAACAAAGCCCACTGTTCCTGTGCCCGTGAAAGCCCCCGCCAATCCCCAAAATTCCTCACCTGCCTACCAATAGGTAACTGACAGGTCGCTTTAAATTCCTATAAAACCTGCCACACCCCTGCCTCCATGCTGCAGCCTGACCCTCAGGTTCTGTAGCCACCGCGCTCATCCCATTAAATCTCTTGGCCTTAACGGGTGTTGAGTCTCACTGTGCGCCACCGTCTTTCATTGGTGCCGTGACTCGGATTGGAATTCTCACCCCAAGGTGGGACCCCGTCCCAGCGCCAGTGGGACTCACCCCTTAAGGCCTTCGCCCATTCTCCTGAACGCCGACGCTACATTCATCACCGGCCTTCGGATTGATAAGTGTCCCCATACTGAAAACCTAAAACCTTGCCTGGGATAACCAGAGGAAACTGACCATTGATCGTCTGGCAGCTCCTTCGGCCCCGGGCAAGGGGGGAACCACACCCCACCTAGGTCTATATGACCAGAGTGGACCCCTATCAGTTTTCCCTTGGCCACTAGAGATTTCAAGCCTTCTCCCTGTCTGGTTTTTTGTAACTTTCCTGTCAAAAATCCTGGTACCGGGTTGCCCTTAACCCCCTTGATTCTCCAGGAGAATCCGGGTCTACAATAACGACCTGTGATGACAGGCTTTATTGTAACCCTCCCGTTCCTCAGTGGTCGCTTGTCCAGGGGACGTCCTGACCAGTCCCACTGCTAACATGGGAAGCTCATCATCTCTTCCAGCTGACTCCTCCCTCAAATGCCTCTTAAATAATCTCTCTACACTCTCCCTCACTCCTGATATTAAGCCTAAGCATCTAATCCGCCTCAGTACCCAAAATTGGTCTACCTATCCCTTAGATAACCAAAGTAAGTTGCCCCCTCATGGGTCCCTAAATCCCGACATTATTCGGGATCTCTATAACTTCTGCGAGCATTCAGAAAAATGGGCAGAGATTCCCTACATCCAATCTTTCTCCCTTCTCTGAGAACATCCCCGTCTCTGTCTCTCTTGTAAACCCTCTCACCTCCTCGTGGCTGAAACCCCCTCCTCTCCAGCCACCTCTCCCAACTCCTACTTTGACCCCATGGATGAGCCCCCTCCGTATTGACAACCCCCCCAACCTCAGCCACTCCAAGCCTCACCTACCCCCGCTGTTCCTAGCCTCTTCCCCCCCTTGTAGTCCTCCTGTAACCCGCTCTAAAACTAACCCTGCTACTCTTGCACCTCTCCACGAAGTGACAGGCGCTGAAGGCATTGTCTGAGTACACGCCCCATTTTCCATCTCAGACCTCTCCAAATAGAGAAAAAACTGGGGTCTTACACAACTAACCCAGCCACCTACAACAAGGAATTCCAATACCTTCTCCAGGCTTACAGCCTCACCTTTCATGACATTTACATGGTCCTCTCCAACACTCTTCTCCCCGAAGAATGCAGAAGGTCTGGGAACGGGCAAGAATGTATGCAGATGAGGCCCACCAGACCTCTCCGACACATCCCCTTGGGGCAGTAGCAGTCCCAGACCAAGACCCTGAGTGAGATTATAATTCCCTGAATGGCCTCCGGGCCAGAGATCAATTTTCCACCTGTCTCCTTTCCAGGTTAAGGAGGGCAGTGCAAAAGGTTATTAACTTTGAAAAGCTGCAGGAAATAACCCAGGAAAAGAATGAAGACCCTTCCTCCTTCCTCAACTGCCTCACAAAAGCCCTTCAACAGTTTAACAATTTGGACCCTAAATCTCCGGATGGACGACAACTCCTTATGACTTACTTTTTCTCTCAAAGTTACCCTGACATTAGGTCTAAATTGAAAAGGCTAGATCAAGGGCCCTTACACCCCAAAATGAGGTTTTGGCTACCACCTTCAAGGTGTACCAACATCCAAAACGAAAAGGCTAAGCGACAAAAATATCAAATGCTAGCTCAGGCTCTTTGCAGGACAGACACTGGCCCCCGTAACAGTAAAGGAGGCGTCCAAACCAAATGTGACCCACCAGGGCCCTGTTTCAAGTGCGGCAAGGAGGGACACTGGGCACGAGTCTGCCCTAACCCCAAACCTCCATGAAGACCTTGCCCCAAATGCAACCTTCCGGGACATTGGGTGGTGGACTGCCCTGGCCCCCAGAGAGGAGCAAGGTCAGCCCCCAACTCCACCCTGGACCTACTGGGCATGGCTGCCTTGAAATGACGGTGCCCTGGGTTCCCCCACCTGACACATATCTCAGATGCTTGGGAGCCTAGGGTCAAAATTACTGTTGACGGATGTCCTATCCTCTTCCTGCTAGACACTGGGACCACTCTTTCTGTCCTGCGGGAGTTCTAGGGGCCAACCTCACCATCTCGGTCCCCAGTAGTCAGGGTAGGGGGCCAAACCATTATCCC